AACAAAGAGCAACTATATAATAGCGAGTCTCGAAAACAGGCTATCGCGTGGCTCACACCGAAATAAAAATTCGACTGCTGCTGTAGACAGCTGTGGGACAGCTGCAAAGGTGGGCTTGGCACAGATCGTTTATTCTAGTCATATGACCGCAACGTGTTATCTCTTTATCTCCGGAACTGTTTCCCCGAATCCAACAATATTCACTAGTGTTCGTTTGGCGATTTAATCGTCATATTTGATGCTGTGGTTGCTGAGTAAGTAGAACAAAACTACAAAATCACTTGAGCTGAAGTTTAAAAGTTCCAGTTGGAATGCATGCATCCCCCAAGATGAAAAAGATTTAAATCAATCCGTCTAAGTCAATCTTCAAAATTGACAGAACCATAAGTTCAAAGCCTTCCTGATTCAAAGCTTGATGACAGGAGAAAAAAAAACTGCTCCCTTGATTGAAATCGATAAATCCCCATTTCCCCCACATCTGAACAAAGAATGCGTTCTCTTTAGTCGCCATCCGGAATGGGAAGCTGAAAACACTCCTCAGTTGGAGAGAGAGAAAAAAAAATATAATGTTGATTATAGCTCCACTAATTAAACTAATTTTTAACGCCATCTTCCGGGTCGGTCGGTTTTCCGTTGTCGAACCACTTGGAATGATTGCGCAATCCGTAGGGCCAACGGTGATGATTACATACAATGGACTTTGGTGCAGTATACCATTGAACTTACGTACACACGCAGCGAGGGCATCTCAGGACTCGTTTGCACGTTAAATTAGTGTGTCGAATAGGGCGGCCTGATGCTGCGTTCGTTGGCCGTTGATGGTGGGTGGGAAGATAATAGGCTGCTGCTAAGGAGGGTAGTTCTGAACGCCTGGCTTGATGATTACGAGTTGGAGCGTGTTCCACTCACTCTCCCGTTTCCATCCGCCAATGATGATGGTGATGGTGATGATAATCGTGATTAGTATTACAAGTTTCTGGGATATTTCCGCCCCAGGGTTGCGAGCGAGCGAGCGAGCGATGCATCGTTGCCACTCTGCGTGAACTCGCAGATTAGAATCTCAACGGTGGGCGAGGGACGGCCGTCCTGGAGCCAGGTGGGGGAGGTGTGCTTAGAAATGGTGCCGTTGTTCCGCGTGAGTGATTTTAATGAATAAGGATGCAGCGTTCCGAGCATGTTTTCCGTGATGAAGGAAGATGAACGTTAATGTTTGTTCGCCGGAGCCAACGACGAAGTAATGAACGTGGTTCTGTGTGAGTACTTGATAAGCTTGTTAGGTTATCCGACGGGCAGGAGATCATCCTTTAAGTGGAAAACTGATAGCTTAGTTTGGAATTTCAAATAAGGTCAATTTTAAAACCCTGATCCCGACTCAATGGCCATGATTTACACCCAAAGCACAACCTGCTCGTTTCTAGCTGCATTCTTCTGGTTCTCACCCGAACCCAAAGTGGCACGTCCAAATCGAAGTAACTGACGGCGATCGAAGATACACCCAGCAAGATAGCTATCATAAAAGTTATTACCTATTTATATGATTGGGAAATTTATTGGCGAATTTTAGTGCGCGTTTTGTGAGTCCATCACCTCGGTGATGGCATTTTCTCACGACACACTAGCCCGGTGGAAGAGAATAATGGCTGGCCTCTTTCAGCCACACTAAGTACATCCCAGCCCCCACCCCTGCCGTTCACCAAGAGCCAACCATGAAGAATAATCATCGTCAATCGGATTTATGGCGCGGAACAAATCAAATTGGAACGAATTTGAAAGCGAGCTCCGGTAGGTACCTACAACTACGCTTGGCTTTTTCCCTTAGTGGCAGTGAAGGTTATAATGGCCACACAGGAAAGAAAAAAAACCCAGTAAGCTGCTTAGCAGCAGCAGGGCTCTTGGTCTGGCATTCTACTGTAAGAGTAATTGTGTGTTAGGACAATGAAACAATGGAATTGTCGACATTTTTTCGCGTTTCGCTTCCGGTGACTTGTTTCGACCAAGGAATGCCTTTTTTGCTGGCCATAGTGGCGTGCGATAGTCTGATTATTTCATTTGTGCTTTGGCGACGGCTTCTTTCTTCTCTCGATTCAAGGTCCACTTTTGGGCGATTATGCGTTCTGATGATGCTCGGTAATGAATATTTTGGAATTTCGCATCGAAAATGATGGCTATTTTGTTGCTTCACCGGAGAATTTTCAATGAAAAAATATAAAAGAACAAAGACCATAGTAGAGTGGTAGAACCTGCGAGGTTTGAGCTTATACATATCCCGGAATTCAATCTATCATCAAGATATCAGAAGATTTTCCATTCTCAAGTTGAACGGGGCCTCAGATAGCCTAGTAAGTTAAGGCAAGCACGCTTTGTTTAAGACGACTTTTATTTAAAGTGAATGTACATAAAATTTTATTTCATTAGATGATAGTTGGGGACCTATGATTTCATAATCTGTAAGATTTAAAATATTTCATCGGTGAAATTTTTTTTTCAATTTTTATGTTTTTTAATTTATGTAAAAATGCGTTTTGATTTAAAAAAAATATTTAAACGAGATTACCGTATACGTTTGACAATAGGTAACATCACAGTTCTTATTTAAATACGGCCCGCCTGACGTATACATGATGGAAAGGGAAGGAAAATCGTGTTAGAAACAGAAAGACAAGAGCAGATGATAGCATCAAAAACATGGCCACCAGTCAGGCCCGTGGATCTCTCAGCCCTTTTTATTCCACGATTTCTACTATCAAATCGATCAATCAGAAACTGGCATTTGACAGCAAATTGGCTCGAAATCGCTACCCGATTGTCAAGTCCCGTCCCAAATTCAGCTATACAAAGTGTCAACATATTTCATGGCGGTGTGATCTCGTGCTTTAACCTGGGGTGGGACGTGCTGTCAAATCAGCCTACTGATCATTCTTAAATGAAATTGGTTACAAACGTAAACGAACCCTGTAGGTTTCCTATGGCTTGTTAAAGTTTGGAACCAGTTATGCGAGGTAGGCGACGATTGTTCGTATTTTACAGCTACCTCCGACCCCCCCACCCTTGGCTTTAACTCTTGCATCTCGAGTCGAAGTGTACACTCAAAAAAGTAGAAGGGTCTGTGCCTAGGGGCACGAACGGAAGCTTGACGTAAGACCGCTAGTGGACGGAATAAATGTGACCTCCGATACGTTGTACCGACGATCTTTGTCCATCGTAGATATTTCCACCGAAACAACCCGTGAATTTGCGTAGTTTTTCTTTATTCCACCCGTCCAGTGGATGCACAGCGATTTTGCAACTCCTTCTAGCCCTAGTGCGTTAGCTATCCTGTCTTCAATCAATGAAACCGAGGATCCATCGTCGAGAAAAGCATATGTATCCATTCTCCTTTTTCTTCCATGCAGTGTTACCGGTATAACCCTGAACAGATTGAACGAAGTCGGTTGACGGTGGATAGATACAGTAGCGTTCTTTCCCTTATCTTCCTGCTTCGACACCGGAGAGTTATCGTAATGGAGAAGGCGATGATGACGTTTAGGGCATTCGTTTATTCCACATACCTGACCATTGCATGGCCAACGTGCATGAGCTGTAAGACATCTACCACACAGCCTGTTCTCCTTCACTATTTTCCAGCGATCGTCAAGAGAAAGTCTTTTGAACACGCCACAACTCTCTATTTGGTGAACTCTGTTTTTACACGATGGACAAGATTTCGAAGCGGCTGAGTTGTTTCCCACCTCGGACGGTTTGAACGATTGTTCTGCATCTGCTGACTGCTCCTTTCTACCAGCTTCCTTCCACTTCTTTGGTGACTCCGGGTTAGAATGGGCGTTAATGTAAGCACGTTCTTTCCCCTTCGCTCGATCATCTCTTGCCACTTTCGGTATACTTCCACTCCATGACACCACACCACTCGCTGCGGATACAACGTTTGCCATATATTCTCTGAAGGTGCTGAGGTCTACTGCTGGCGGCTGTTGCTGGTATAGCGCCCAGTTGAACTTGACTGAAGTTGGCAATTTTTCTACTAGCTCCTGAAGTAGAATGGGATTCGAAAGATGGTTCTCCAATCCTACAGCTTTCAAATGCCCACACAAGTTTTGAACCACCAAACCAAAACTCACCAGTGTTTCAAGCTTATCGTTCTTCGGAGCTGGTGTACTACGAACCTTGTTAATCAAGCTCTGAACGATTTACTCCGGTCTTCCATACAAAAGCTTTAGCGTCCCTATTACTTGTGCTACTGTAGACGGATGCAGAAGGAAACTACTCACTGCTTCCTTGGCACTACCCTTAAAACACTTCTGAAGACGCAATAAATTTTCGGAATCTGAATAGCCACAAGCCTGTGTAGAATGGCTGTAGCTACTAATGAATAATGGCCAATCTATAGGGTCACCCGCAAAAATGGGCAATTCCCTACTGATTACCTGTCTAGCAGCTAGTTGTTGAGATACTGGAGTAATCTGGAAGTGAGGTGGACAGTTCCTCGTCCTAGGGGAACCTGAGACGAATGGGACGGGAGGATACCATTGGTTTTGTGGGTGATATGGCCTAAACGAAGGTGTAGCCGCACGAAATATCGGAAATTCGTTTTCCGTACCAGACTGGGTTCGCCCTCCCATAGGGGTTGATTGAGATACCTGAGAGTTCCAGTCAAAAATGCAGTGGTCACCTGGATGTGGCCGAGTACCACCTTGCGACGTGTCTTCCGATTCCAGACCTGGAGAGGGTTGTTGTTGACGTGCTTGAGCTTCCATGGACTGTCTATACTCTTGCTCCAGCTTGATAAGACGTTCCAGTTCCTGATCCCGCTCTGACAACTCACGTTGATGTTGTTCGTTGAGCATATGCTGCTCGTGTTCTCGGTGATATAACTGTTCTTGCAACAAGCTCAAGTCACGTCGCCTGTGCTCGATAACCCGAATCTATTCTTGCGCACGACGTTGGAATTCTTCCAATCTAGCCAAATCGTGCCGTCTTTGTTCATGTAATCTGCATTGCTCTTGCTAATGGCGTTGCAGCTCCTGTTCCACATCGCGTTGTTTCTGAAGGTCTTCGGTTCTCTGTATCGTTAGCCGGTTCAGTTGGTTAACCAGCTCTAATTCACGTTTGCGACGAATATTGTTCTCCTCTTTGTGTTTTTGCTCGAGTTCTTGAGTACGGGAACGCCATTGCTCGTAGGTTGATTGCTTTCGGACGACCTTTGGAAGAGTGCCTGTCTTCGATTTGGTCATTACTGGATCATGCAGTAAAACGTTGAAAGGACCAACGTCAACGAACGGTACTATTTGTGAGTTTATATTTCCCTGTGACCCACCAACAGCTCCAATCACACCATCCGAGTCTTCCTCTGCCGTCTCACCGATCGCCATGCTTTCCGTGTTGCGAGGTATTGGTTCCATTCTCAATCGTAAACGAACTGGTGCAGGCTGGACCATCCCAGCAGCAGAATTGATGTTTCGGTTAGGTATAGGTGTTGAAGTTGCATGAACATCGGCGGCAACTATTGGATTTGCCATCAACTCCTGCTCAGCATCTTTTGTGAGGATTTCCGACGACTGATCTACGAAACCGGTCTTCTCGGTGATCGTAATTACGTCATTTATCCAGTTCTGTACTATACTTTCTTTGTCCTGACGGCTTTGTTGACTGCGGTGACTATTCGAAGTTCGTGATCCCTCCTGTTCATCTTGCTGCTTCAGTAAGTCGAACTTCTTGGCGAGATATTGCTTTTCCCGATCGTATTTTTCCTTTCTGGCCTTTTCCTGCTGTGCTTGTTCTTCCTGGTGAATTCTTTCCATTAGCTTCCTCTCCTCATTGAGACGTTCTAATTCACGACCGATCCTCGCCTGTCGTACGCTTGAGGTTGTAGTGTGACTCGTGACGGAGCTCGGCTGCTTGATCGGAATCCGCGGAATACACAAGGAACACATAAAGACCTCTTTCTGAACGGTGGACTGTCTGACATTGGCGCAAGAAAGGTAATACCAACGAGAACAGTCCCGACATTGAACCATGTACAGTTCAGCATTGTTGGGTTTGTCACAACCACCACATTCGATCTTATCTCCTCCTTCAACATCGATAATAGACGGCTCGAACGAGCTTCGCGACAAGCTTTCCTCCTCCAGGGAATCTCTCTCAGCTGCGAGGTTAGGGGTTTCAGCGTCTATTGCGGCTCGCACTCTCGAACGCGTCTGCCGAATAGTCGAATACCTGTTGGTTGGTAGACATCCCAACTTGTCGAAATTCTTTGAGTTTTCTGTTGACGAAGTAATTTTCGGAGATTCTGTGCAGCAAAACTCGTTTTTTATGTGAGTTAGCTCGAAGCTGTAAATGTATAATTTATTAGATTTTGCTTTTGTTTGCAATTTACCTTCATACAATTTGTCTCCAATTAGTGTTTGTATCGGCAACAGAATAAACTAGATTTTATATTGTGTAGCAAGTTAATCTATAAGTACAATACAATTAGTTATTTCATAAGTTTTAATTAGGATAATAAATTCACCGGAAAAACGTTGTATAACTCACTACTGCGTATAATGACAACAATATAATTCACTTATTTTCAACGTTAACAACCTGACAAAAGAACCTACTTTGACGTAAGGGCAGTTGGCTCATTTGGATGAACCGAGGGGTATAGTGGGCAACGTGTTGCCGGAACAAATACTGCTACAACATAATTCTTTAACGATAGTCGGTAAAGTACCCGGAAGAATGTGATTGAGTTGAGCAAAAGCTTCAAGAATATTATTGTATTATTTTGTTTAAAGCAACGGCAGTAAGATATTTCATGTGTAAAAATTGCAAACCACATTTGCTAGCTCTGTTGTTCAACGTTTTTGCTAAAATTAATCATTTGTGAATTTAAATTTACACTTTCAGATTTATTCAAGTAATATGTTTAGTAACCATTTTTTTTCTTCTTCTCTTTCCATTTTAGGTGAGTACCTTTCTGATTAAGACAATTAACTTGACAAGAAGCATGAATATCCAATGACACCACCCAGTCTGTAAGTATTAAACTCCTATTGAGCGCAAAATTGACGGAATTTAACGCTGACACAAAGCAGGAAACGTTAGCATTTTAGTTTGTTGGATGTTTTAGTATTAAGCGATAGTTGAATTATTTAAAATTGAATTTACAACACTGGTTGATACAGAACTGTTATACATTCACCACATATAGGAGACACTCACTAAATACTTACACTATTAGTACCTAAATGAGCACTCAACACGAATAGAACACGAATAGACAGTACATGAATTCCTTGGTATGATAGACAGATAACGAACACAGTGAATTTAGTTAGCCAACCGATTGCGAACGAATAAAGGCAAAAATATACACGCGCGCGCTTCACAAACCCGTACGAATAAAGTGTATTAAACTTTGGTCCCTAAATAAAGTGTTTAGAAGTGAAATTAGTTCAGTTCTATTGCATTTGTGGAAGGAAAGGAAACAAGAGCAAATGGATACCTAGGATATTCGGAAAAGGATCGAAATTGGAAGGACACATAGTACGATTCTGGACAAACACACAACGTAGGATCTAAGGTACATGAGGTGGCTACAAGGTGTATATTTGGAGCACGGAAAGGCAAACGAAGTATTCAGCTCAACCAACGAACCTAAATCCCCCAACAAAGTTATTAAAAATAAAGTGCTCCATTTCCGAAAACTATGTTACTCGACGAGAGTTTGTTTAATTGCGAAACATTTGGTAACTTTAATGATATGAATGTATGTCAAATCTGCCCAAGTAACCATCCAGCCAGCAAATGCAAAAAAGTGCAATGTAAAGCTGATAATAGGCAAATATAAAAATCGGAAGTTGTGTATCAGCCTTATATTACAAAAAGGCCCTTATCGGGCTAAAAATAACCTTCGTGGTTACTTTGGTGACGCTCATAGATGTCAACCTCAGAGCTCCTAAATTGACATGTATTTTTTTTCCCTTGATTTGTAATCCGTCGACCTTGTTTTCCGTGCTGAGCACCAATGCTACCGAAGCCAGGGAGACAGCTCCCACACCTGGACCCTACCTATCGACCTATCAACTCATGAACCGGGGGACCAACGGCTTTACTTCCCTCCCTCCCGACGGCGCAGACTTGGATTGAACCCACGCCTGCTGGGGTGAGAGGTAATCACGCTTACCACTACACCACCGGTGCCGCTTGCATGAGTTTTTAGTAGTCTGTAGTTTTTCTTTGTAGTAAAGGAATTCTTCCTCATGCTAGACTCAAAGACAAGTTGAAATATTATATTCCCCAACTTCCAAACCTTTCCGTTCACTCCAATCAGCACAAATTCCCAATGCAATTTGTGCGAATAGTAACAACAACAACATCCAAATCAATTTAGCTAATTTACGGCTACTCCCTCCCAGCGATGATCGGTTTGCACTCGATTCGGAAAACCGACCCCAAAAAAAAAAACAACAACAGCAAACAAAAAAGTCAACCCAGCGTTTGATTGACACCCTTCAGAACATCGACTGACAGCCACAGATGCCGGAGCCTTTTAACGAAGCAAGCATGAACGAATCATCAACCCATCAGACAGAATAAACCAACCCACCAGCTCAGTGAAATCAGAGAGCCTAGAACGGGAGTTCATGGAAGACAAAAAGTGTCGAAAGAAGCTCCTCTTCACCTTTTCGGGCTCCGGTGGGGTGGGAACGAATGGAATTGAGCAAACAGTTCAGTACGACACCGATGACGACGACGAATAGTAGATCGAATAGTTGCATATCCAACTCCGGACTGATTTACCGGAGACCGAACCTACCATGGGGAAGACGGTTGTCATTCGAGGAAACCAATAAAGGGCATATCCACCTCCTTCTGCTGATTCTCGTCACTTTCAATCCTGGAAAACGAACCGGAACCGGAGAAGATCGGATGGTGTGTGTGTATGTGTGTGTGAGTGTGTATAGTGCTGCTTGATCCGAGCGAGCGGGGCCTGACGAGGCTCCGAGAACAGAACAAAGAGCCGCTTCACATTTAATATTCATTTCATTCGGTTGTGTGCGTTGAAGGCACAGCTGGCAAACCAGAGCAGGGGGAATGTGTAGTAGTTTGAAAGCTTTTCATGTCGTATACAATTTGTATGGAAATTCTCATATGTCTGTAATAATGCAAAAACATTCATGACAATTTCTCGGTGCACAAATGCTGGATATTGCACACACGTATCGGTGGGGGGAGCGGGAGGTAGGCCGGTACAGAGAAATCGAACTTTTAAACAATTATCATACAATCATATTGGTAACCAAATTTATAACTCATCTAAGTATGATCAATTCTGCATAATAATCTCCGCTTGCGAAGATCTTTATTGGGCCATACATTATTGAGCATTCTGGAAGAAGGCATGAACCGATCTAAAACCCATATGTCTGCGCAAAAAGGGACAACTCTCCGTGAGGCTCATCGTTTTGAGTGAAAGCACATATCCCATATATGACACAGCCTGACGGCGCACGACGGCAAGAAGTGAAAGGCTGAAGCGGTATGAATTTGATTTCATGAAGATTATTCATATTCATACCCGTGCAGCAGCAATATCAGTCAGCACATTTGCGTTGTGGATTGCCATCACTTGTTTTGGGAGGGGCAGTGCGAAGAAGGCAGGGGGTTCAAAGAAATTTTTCTGGGGCATTTCTGCTTTCGCATTATTACGGATTGGTCCCCAATGGGAGTATTATTGATATAACTGGGGGAAAAGGTTGGAATGGATTGCTGACGTGTGCACGCTGACTGGTTGTCGTAGGTTGGATCATCGGTTGTCGGTTGGTTCGTTGGTTGATGGGAATATTGTGATCCCTCATGGGCTGAAGAATGCTTTTCGGCTGCTGAATTATTGGCATTCCGAGGGTTGGGGAATTGCAAGGGCTTCATAAGAATGACACAGAGACTGGCTGTGCCGCTGGAAATGGATGAGCCGTTTTTTGAGCCATGACATATTCATATCCAGGTCGAAAGGAGAGCAATTTTTGCTTTGCATATGTACAACATGATGTTGTAGCTTCAATGGCAATCAAATCTAAAGCAGGGACCACACGAATAAAAATATTGTCAATTTTCAAAAGTAAATATTTTCAATATTATTGATGGTTGAAAAGCAAAATAAAAATATTGATGCTAATATTGACGAGGAACCAAAAAAGTTTGATATCGCGTTTCAATATTTTCCTTAATTTCACCCTTCTTCTGTTTAATAGGGCCTGTTCCTCACTTCTGTCGTGCGGGGTCCACGTCAATCTATCCAGCGGGACAAACTTAACGAATTTCAAAGTTGATACGTGTTTTGGAATGTACCACCCAAGTAACATTTTAAGTTTTATGAAATACTACAAAGCTACTATAAAACAACATTCATAAAACCCTGGTCAAGACTGGTATGCCATTGATGCATCCACCAAAACCTCATTGATGCTAGTATCTGTCTAGTTGGCCCACCCGCAAGATTGATTCACTGCAAAATGGTTGTGCGATAAACGCATAGAGATATATTTTAAAACCGTATTTAAGCTACAATAAAAGCTATTTGGCAACAATTAAAACCATTATCCGAGCCATTTACCCTAGCTGCTTGCTAAGTTCACTATAAAAAACAACAGTCAAGATAAAAAAGGATTCATAAATACCATCCGATCTTATCAAAATAATTAAAATAAAAACTGATCGTATAAAAATCATGCCGAATTTCCAAAATTATAAAATAGTTCACATGAAGTGGTCTAGTTTTATGAGCCATATAAAATTTGATGTGAAATGTACGTGAAAACATCGATAAACTTGAGTCCGCCGACGGAAAACATCGATTTTACTAATAATTTTACATTAAAAAAAATATATATTCTTCAGATCGATCATTAAGCTTAGCCGAGATTTTTGTTTCTCATGATTTTTGCATTCTAAATATTTTCTCATTGCGAAATTAACTAAAATAAAGTTATGTCCAAGGAAATAAAATAATTGTAATATGGCGGAGGCATAAAAGTTGATTTTCATGGGCCATTTGTGAAAAAGTTATTTTGCTTTCAAAAAATTCGTAACAAATTCATAAGGTTTTGAAATGGCTTTTATGAAGAAAACTTGTAGACTGAATTGTATTTATCTTAAGCCATTTTGCTTGATCCTAACCCGTTCAGATTTATGGCAGCATTTATGGCGGCAATGTTGCCTACAAAATCTTA